TAGCCCAGGCGTTTGATTCGTGGCAGGACTTCTTTAAACTCCAAGTACCTTGGTCATTGTAGGTTAAAGTCAAGTGACCTCTTGAAGCTCATCAAAGTCCCAAAAAAGGTACATTGATAATTCAAATCGTATTGAAGACATTGGAAGACTACACTAAGGGCTGGATGATGACAATGTGACAAAGTTTATCTTGGCAAGAAGCGTGTGGGTTCGCTCTTCCGTACCTGCGATGCCTGTGGGCACCAAAGCCCTTTCAGTTCAGCTTGAACAGTTCAGCAAGCTTGCTGCAACTATCCAGTCCTGCCTAGGTAAACCTCGTAGATTTTCAAATTCGCGGGTCGCTCAGGCCTACAAGTGACGGAAAACTGCTGTGCTTGCAGGACTTGGCAAGTTGTTGTGGTAAACAAGAACCCAGAATCAGAAGATATACTGTATAGATTCATAGATTCTGGGATTTGGTGGTCTCGCAGGTTGTACGCTGGTATTATCATTGAATTGATTTGTCATGCTTCAAAGAACACCAGCCTCTCGTGTCGCATCACGTAGCGCTCTGAGGGTTGCGGTTCCCACATCACCCCGTTGAAGACATTCACATCCGGGTTCTGTCAGGAGCGCTCAATTCGTCGACAACCATTAGAAAGCTACAAAACGTTCTTCATTGTCTACCATTATCATGAAGCTTTCTGCTTCTCCCTTCGTCTGACTTCTGAACCTTACTTCGTATGTTACTCGTGTTTGGTACCTGCCATGCCAACTTGGCCCAGGCAGGGACGCGCTCCACCGTCCCAAACTGCGTCTGTACTCTCACACCTGGACAGGCAGGCTTGTTCACATCTCAACCACACCGCACATGAAAGAAACTGCATTACTACGTGTATATATTTCAGATGTAGAGTCTTTGAAAAGGCTCCACAAAACTCAAGAAACACAGCTTAAAGCAGCTGTGCACAGTCGTTATAGAACTTATCAAAATATCAACGGTGAAGCCAACGGAGAAGAAGGATTACGCAAACCCCAATGAGGCTGCTTTGCGCTTCACCAAGGAGCGGACGAAATTGGGACCTGCGGCTAGCAACGATGAGGGCTGCATCTGAAAATTGTGGATGAGAGGCGGCAGTAAACTAGTATCAGGATCTGTCGCCAGTAACTCGCACTCTCTCAACTTAACAATGCCATTTGTAAATTTCAGCAAGCAAACGCCGCGCTGCACCCTCGCACCATTTCAAGACTCTGCTGTCCCAAATCAAATGTAGCACCAGGCCTATGGGGCACAACCCATTTGCCATCTCCGTTGTCGGGCAAGTCAATACTCCAGCGGCCAAATTCACCTGGCTGGCAGTGTATCTGTATCAGTGTAACCTCTACGGAGTCCAAGTGACCTGAGTCGTATGTCTCGCACTAAACCAGTTCACTGCTCCCTAATTATCCTTCTTCTCATTCCACACCCTTGTCGCCTTCTTCTCCTTCTATTCCCCATTAACCCTCTATTCTAGGGATGCTGCATACTGTATGCTCTTCTAGCATGACTTTCACTTGTTTGTGTGAGTTCTGCTTTGAATTCTGCTGGATGCCTAGCGCTGCTACTACAGTCGTTCACTGTGGTGCGTGTTTGCTCCACTTCCCTGGCTCGCTACTTCCGCTGCCGCTGTTCTTATCACTATCGTTGCCGCCGTTGCCAATGAGGACACGGCACGACTAGGACTATATACCACCACCCCTCACGCCCTATATACCTGAGTTTCACAGCCTCTAGAGGGAGTGCAAACACATCCTTTTTTCAGACCTTCGTAATGTGCTTCAAACACACTGCAGCAGGCCTGGCTTCAAGGGATGCGTATTCTCCTTGACAATTGGTGAGCGAAAAGTTCAAAACATACAGCAGTAGTAGTTTGCTTGAGCCGAGAGTCCCAATTGTTGAAGTCGCCGATCAGAAACGCTTTTCGCGCTTCTGGGAGCCACTCTGTGAAAGTCCATTTCTGCTCTGACTCATGCCTGATACTTGGCGAACATCAAAATCCCTAATGCACCTGCTAATTGCCAATAACGCCCTTCTGTGGGCCTCTGAAATCCGAAGGTCTTGTACCCTTCAGCAAATTTGTCCATTCCACCCTCATTCTTCCTGAACCTTGGTCCACAATATTCTAGAATCAAATACAGTGCAACGCCGGGGTCAATGTAAATCCAAGCCATGCGCTGTTCTTTCCAACCACGGAAGGCATTGATGCGGTTCATGATGACAGATTCCTCTGCAGAATTGAGTCACTGCTACGTGGGTCTATGCCGCATAGGTGCCAAGAAATGATTGTTTCGATAGGCAAAGGCCCCAGCATGCCAGCAAAGGCGAGGATCATCCTTGAAAATTGGCAACATCGTCCTGCTCAAGTTAACAGAGTCAATGTCAATCTGATATATTTAGGGCACAACAACACACAAACCCATTAGTCTCATGTCACCTGTCCTGGATGGACCTTGCTCTCGCTTACTGCAAGCGCACTTTCAATGGCAAGCCTCAAAGTGAAATGGTTACATGGGATGAGCTATGGTGAACTTATAAATTAAAATAAATTAAACCCTTTTGAAATTGATCAGGTTCCGTGTGGGCCTGCGCAACGAAAAATTGTTTGCGAGGAAGGCCTGGGGTCATATGTTTTTGCTGTTTATGTTGGTGTTATATTATATAGTGCGATATAGTGAGTAAGGTGTGTCGGCACACACGTTCAAACAATGGCGATGCGTCTGCAACAATTGGAACTTCATAACCCGCAAGTGCTCAAACAGTTCTACGTGTCGCATAATGATACCACTTTGTCCATCTAACATGTTGAGTTCGACTGGAACACAAATTGACACAAAGCGCAAACAACAACAAACACATCTGAACCCAAAAGGCGCAACGTTGCGGTGCTGCGTCGCGTTTGCTAATGGGGTTGAAGTTCATGCGAAGCAGACGGAAACACGTCTCAAAATGGTGACATTTTGCAAAATACTGAGAACACTTGTTTAAAGAAACAAAGCTGAGCGGAAATCCAACATGCTGAGGGCAAGGCTCACAGTGCACAGCAAGAATTCGAAGTTAGGACAGTCCACCTCTGGCCCGCAGAATTTTTGCAATTAATTTAGCTGATCCTGTTTGTAAAATATTCTGGCTGTATCAGCTCTTGTGAAAGCGCCATTGTTCATCTTTTTCATTCAAGCTTAAGCCTGAATCAGCCCGTGGATAAATCACAACTGCGACTGTCCCAACACTTGCACACGTCGGTGTTCTTGTTGCACAGCATCCACATGGCAGATTGTTTTTTGGAGTGTTCTTGCGCACAAGCCACTGCACGTGCTTTTTATGTGAGATTAGCCCTGGTGACTCCAGTCTGGTGCCAGCAAGCTTCTGGCTCGAACGCCTTGGCTTTCTTTGGGCCTTGGGCCGGCTCTTGCGTACAAGCCATGCATGACGCCATACGACGCCGATTACGCCGTCGACGGTGCTGCCAATGCAGTCTTGTGACGCACTTTCCTGTGTATATTCTTGCGCGAAAATAATGGTCTGCTTGCGCAGTGAGAGCAGGCAGCAACCCCGAAGGGCGGCCGGTGAGAAGTCATGCCAGGCTTCATTGTCACACATGTGATGCTGAAGTCAGCAATCCTCACTACAGAGATGGCCACTGGAAAGTTTACGTTCTGCAAAGCCACTTCCTCTTTTACATTTACTTCGTGGTCCCTGCCTCATCGGCCTCCTTTGGTCCGCCTTTTCCAAAACACCTCGCCTGCCCAGCCCTAAGCCTTGACTTCAAGGAGGCTTGCGTCTGCCTGTCTTCGTCCTCTTGGTGGCTCCGGCACCTTGTGCGTTTTGCGGAAGGAGCAGGGCCCCGCGCCGCAGGCTGTTGGCCACGACCCTTTCAGGGCGGCGACAGAATCGTTTTGTGGAGGCGCTGGCAGCAAGGCCTTTCAGCAACTCGTTCCAAAAACTTCGGAAAAACTTGCGCCGCAACACTGGAACGGCGGTCTGAAAGCGCCAGTGAGGAGCTGCCGGTGCAGCCGAAGCGGTAATTGAATCATGCGGCCACCAACCACCAAAAGACCACACAAGGCAGTCGAGCTGGTGGGCTGTGCGTGAGGGGCACCGAGCCTTGCAAGGCACTCGCGTGGGTGACCAGCCACGTACAATATATATATATATATACAATTTTCCAAGATTCTGCATTCACATGCATTCACAAAGTCAAGAACTACAAGCATTGCAGGAGCTTCGCAAAGTACACATTTGAAACCCTTCTTGAAAGCCTTACCTCTAAAATGATCCAACAAAATCCAACAAAACACCCTCTTCCATGTTTCCTAACCTTTCAAATTTCAAACATATACAATTGCACAGCGGCCTTTGTCGAGATCTTTGCGATAAACGTCCTTCGGTTTGGTACTCGAGATTCTCCTCTTCGGGATCCAAGTACGGTGGAACCAACTGGCATGTTCGTGTGCGGGACAAAAGGCAGATAAAGAACCACATGTGTGAACGCAAATAGAGTTATTGGAACAATCACCACATTTCACTAAGTTCAGTTTGTATTGTTCAGTGTTCGGGAAGGCAAAAGTGCACAAGAACCTCTCTCGTCTCAATCTGTCAAAAAAATGTAATGTCGAATTGGACTGACTAAAGTCTCAGTCTCGTGCAAGGCACGCAGGTGCCATTACAAGCTCGCCTATGGGCATACTATGCACCCAGTGAAATTAAATCAGGGTACACAAACTATGCCCCAATGAATGTGAAAAGCGCGCCCCCTTTGAGGCAAATGACGCCTCCAAGAGCAAACAGAGTGGAGAAAAGCGCCGAAGCTTGATGGGATCTCAAACTCTGTCCCGGCGGAATGGCAGCATCCACTTTGGGATTTGCATAGAAATAATACTATGCAATGCTCTCCCAGCCTACGTATGTGCATAATTGCTGATACCAGCACACCGTATTGCAGTTCAGCATACAGAAAATAATCCTGTCAAATTCCTGGACAAAAGGGCATAAACGTGGTATCAACACAAGGCGCAGTGAGCTTGCACTGCGTCACCGCAATTGTTGCCTGCCTGGCTGTGCGGTAGACTCTATGACAATGAATTGCCCTAGGGCACTGTGCGGGACTTCCTCCAGTCCAGTCTTTGCTTTGTCGTCAAACATGGAAGGAACCTTGGAGTACTCATATATATATATATATACATCTTGGAGGAACACCCTGAATCACCGAATGGCTCTCTCGGACAACATACGCAAAGGCGCAAAGGTTTTCTGGAGCACTAGCTCGCAGCCAAATCATTGTCAAGTGTCCAGTCAATTTGACGCTCGTACTCATCAATCGCCTCCGCGAAGGGTCGCCAAAGCTATTCAAGCATCGGAAATGAATGCTTGGGCCAGGTTGGGGTATCCCTGGGCACAATAATGAAGTCTGAAATGCCGTGCTTTCTCTATGGCCTTGCATGCAAAGCATGTTGGGCACAAACAAATTGCAATGCATTGCCATGCATTCATTCGAATGCGGTTAACCTTGCCTGTGGCCAGTAGTAGTTTGTCCGCAAGCCTGGCAATGTGGCTTGCTCTCACAGCTTGCACGAAAGTGAAGGAGGGGCTTACTGACTACTGACGAGGAAGGGACGAGCGCGAAAGAATTGGAATGTCTACAAGGGAAAGACTGACAAGAACTAGGTCAGCAACAATGCCGTAAGCACTGTAGATCTTTTTTGATGTCATTCCCACACCAATACTACATCGGATCATTGGGCAAGAAGCTGAAATTTTCATGTGGACACTGCAAGCTCCGAGGTGAGTCAAGCTTTGATTTGGCTACAAAGCCAGCTCTAGTCTTGAACTAATTTGGATGCGCTGGGTCGGTGTTGAACAACAAGCTAAGTGAGTCCAGCAACTCGATGTATCTAGGTCATGGATCAGCAAAGCGCTCAGAAAGCTAAGCCTGCTAAGCCTTCAGTTGTGGCCATGGGGAGTGGTTAGTGTGAGCTAGCCAGGTCAGACAAAAAGCCAGTTGAGCTTGAGCTCGCTAGACGGAGACGACTAATAGCTAAGGCAGCTAAGGTGAGCTAGAGCCAGCTGAGTCGGCTCAGAGTTGCTGGACTGGGCTATACTGTATTATTTATATACTAAAAAAAATGAAACAATGGCCTGATTAACCTGGTGAGCTGAATTGTGGTGCTTTGTGTGGCTTTGGGTTTGTTTGTGCTGAGTAGATCTGTCGTGATTTCCGGTGATTTATGTGGCTAGTCTGTTATGATGATTTGCGGTGATGCGGCTCCATTCGTGACTTCTTTGCAATGTGTGCTAGATTTGTCGGACTTGTACAACTTCATGCAGGGACCATGCCTTGAGTTGGCCCCGCAACTGCAGTGAGACCACAGCACACCAGGACAGTCCAAACACTGCCTGTGTCGTCTTCTGATTTCGCACATGCATTCTGTCCATCTCTGTCTGATATCCTGTTTCACGCGTCTTTCAATATCATTTTATGTTCTCATTTTATGTAGAGCAGCAACGGGTCTGTAGAAACTTGCTACTGATAGATATGTTTGATTGGATTTTGTCATCCTCACCCTGTGCAAGTGTCACTTAGACGTGGACAGCTTTATGCTCTTTGTGTCGCAGCGCATATATATATATGTAGAGAGAGAGGTTGAAACGTAACTGACATGTTTTGAGGCTTAACTTCGCAACTCTAAAAAGCCTGCAAAAAAATATCTTGCAAAGCTGCTCGGAAGGTAAATTAGTGAATACATGTGAATACAAACATCTAAGCCTATCTGAATTCGCCACGCTTGGTCCCGTACCATTCATCTGGATTTGCTTAAAAAGGTCCTGCTTCTTGTGGTAGACTTCAAGTGCCTGGATCCAAGCCACAAGCAATGCAATGTGGACATGTGAGCGTCGGACGATATTACTTATTGCATCTTATTACTAACCCGCAAAGGACGTTTATAATTTGGGTGGGCCCCTATCGGTTTTCAGGTTTCGTATCGGTTTTGGGTGGGCCATCACCCATGCTAGAGGGTATCGGTTTTGGGTGGGCCCCTATCGGTTTTGCAGTCAAATCACCTTTTCAAAAACGATGTCCAGCCGAAGTACTCATGTGATTACAAAGGGTATGCCACAAAGAATCCGCGCGTGTATCAACTAGCCCCTACATGTTACAGAAGGTGGAACATAAGGTGGAAGAGCGATTGTTGGTTCTAAAACATCTGCGACTGCTTTAACTTCGTGTCTAAACAACAAATTGATTGCATGGTGAGTTCAACCGTAGATTTTGCACATGCAAACATGTATGATGAGTTCGCGAAACTCAAAACTAAGTTGCTATAATATCCGCTCTAGATATCTTATTCAAGTTCAAGGGCCTTCAGGTGTGGAACCCTGCGTTGTTCGGATCCATTTGTATAAAACGCAGGTCGTGGTGTGTGTGTGCCTCAAACTCACAAGTGTCAGCTGCTTAAGGTGATAAATTAGAATTTTTTTTGAAATCCTGTATTTTTCTACATTTGTTTGCCTTCGTTGTTGTTCTGAACGCTGATATTTTTCTCAGCAAAAGCTGACGCTGATATTTTTCTCAGCAAGGGCTGAAGGAACTTCAAGGATTTGTGAAATCAATGTTTTTAACTGTATTGGTCCGCAGTTTCTGGGCAACGCTGCCCGAACCTATGCCTGGGAGTGTATAGTATACAGTATACCTGAGCATCCACAACGAAAGACCCTTCCTGGGTTGCACGATAGAATTCAAAACGACGTGAACGGCCCTATCTTCTGAAGAATGTGCTTTGTGAAGCTCAGTGTAAGGCCTTGCAATTCTTGCAAGTTTGGACCCAAACTTGCTTCAAGGCTTTTCGCAGCTGCTGTAGTTTATTCGTCGAGAATGTGCAGCGGAAGTGTGTGATGTGAGGGTTGAAAAAGGCGCCTGGGCTTGAACGGATGAACCTTGTTGGCTTCATAACGTTGGCAACAGACAGAGAGTGATCTCTGGTGGGCACCACCGGACCTCAACCGAGCGCTGGATCACAATAGACCGCAAGCCCTAGATGGCAGTGAGCACCGCCGCGCCTCAATCGCAAGCGCTGGATCGCAGTGGGCGCTGCGGGACATCAACTGCGAGCGCTAGCGCCGCTGGACCTCTATCAACTGCGAGCGCTAGATGGGAGTGGGCGCCGCCAGGCCTCAACTGCGAGCGCCAGATAGCAGTGGGCACCACCGGACCTCAACCGCGAGTGGGCGCCGGGCGCCGCCGGGCCTCAACCGGGCGGCGCCGGGCCTCGACCGCGAGCGTTAGATGGCAGTGGGCACCACCGGAAGGACATGAAGTAGATAGAACGCCAGAACATCTCCAGAAAGAATGCCAGAAGAACGCTGCAAGATAAGCCACATAGAATGCCAGAGTATGTTCCAGTTCCAGATAGAACGCCTCAATATATGTAGAACGCCAGAATGTATGCTGGATAGTATGCTAGAACATGTGCCAAATAGAATGCTATAGTCAGTATATGATATATGTGCAAGATAAACGCTTTCTTGGCGGTCTTGAATCAATAAGCAGAGTACAATGCCATGGTGGGGATCGCTCGAAGCAAAGCAATCTCTTTTGCCGGGAGCGTCAGCGAAAGGGTTCTTAAGGGTCTCTCTAGCTCTGCAAGCAGCAGATTGCTGCGCGCAGTTTGCAGGTCTGTCTTCTACAAGTACACCTGCAGCAGGTCGGCTCTCCTTGGCTGCTGCTTCAGATGTGGCTGCGCTACACTTGCTATGCTGGACGCGTTGCTGCTTGAGACGCATTCCTGCAGTTGCCCAAAGCAGTAGATTGCTGTGTGTTGCTGGACGCTGCTGCTTAGCTTGGCACTATAGTGGCGCATTGTCACCGGCGCGTGGCCAATATCTGACGTCACTTTCGCTGGCGAGTCTTGCTTCCGGGAAGCACGCCTGCAAAATACATCACGTATCACGTAACTTTCCCTCAACTCTTGCTTCAGCAATCGCTTCTGCTCACCTGCGCTGTCTTATGCAGTAAAGCATATCTGAGTGCGCGCACGCCTGTCACATCTTGGCTAATAATTCTTCCTTAGCTGGCGGCCTGGCCGGACAGGGCTTGCGAAACGTGATCCTCTGCGGGAACCGTGCGTCGGATGCTCAAACTCGAGGTGAAATGCGAACTTCCCGGTATGCTGGGTGAACCTGTCAGGATTGCAAGTGTTGCGTGGGCGTGGTGGGGCCCTTTGCTGGGATCGTAAGCGTCGAGCGCTCAAGCGTGAGGTGAAACGCGAATTCATGCGAATTCTTTGTCATCGGTGAACGCTTTGCAGAGATCGTGCGCGTTGAGTTGCCAAGGTGTGTAACTGTGGTCGAAAATCAAGGCGCACCTGACCAGGCCAGATGGACAAAGTTGATCACAGGCCGCGCGCGCAGCTTGTGGGAGGCGTGGCCTGAGAACTGGGAGCTGTGGCGACTTTGTAGCACAAATGTGGGGAACGGGAAGCGGCTTCTGGGAGCTCGGCCTCAGAACTGGTAACTGGCAACTGTGTGGCAAAATTACGTCTGTGATGTTGCTGCGCTATGCTGTTTTGCATAGCCTCGGTGGAAAGTGTGTTTGCCCGGCCTCGGTGCCAAGTGTGTCTGGCATTGGGAAACACGCAGACGCAAACGCGGCGTGTTGCTGGTGAGGGGGATAAGTGGTTGTTTCGCAGAAGGATGCCCTGCAAGATTGTCACACAAGAATGCCTTACACGAGCGTCCCACAAGAGTGCCCTACAGCGTCCCACGACAAGAGCATCCTCTCAAAGAGTGTCACACAAGAGTCCAAACAAGTGTGTCTAATTATGTGTGTCTTACAGATTGTCCCACGAGGGTGTCCCACAATACTGTCCTAATTAGCTGGAAGACCACACGCCCCACTATATCACATCTACTTTGTCTTGGAATTAGCACCGTTGTGATCATGATCAGGACTATCACCATCATCACCATGACCGTCATCATCATCATCACCATCATCATCGTTGCCTTGTGTCAGCTCCGACTGTGCTTTCGGGCCACCCTGTATGCGGAGTACATCTGCAGCTTGCAGGTCTGCTCCTCTAGAGCTGCTGCTTCAGATGTGGCTGTACTACACTTGCTATTTTAGATATTCTAGATGTGCTGCTGCTTGATATGCATTCCTGCAGTTGCCGAATGAACCCTCTACGAGGATCCTGCATGTCGGATGCTCGGATCAAACGTGTTTTTGTTGCGACTCAAGCTGTGCTCGATGAACCCTCTGTGGGGATCGTGCATCTCAGATGCTCAAACGCATATATAGGTGTTTTTTGCGACTTGACAGCAACAGAACTCTTATGCATGTGTCTAAACTCTAAACACTCCCGGGCCATTCGTCGTTTTGGATAACTTTTGGTTCAGCTACTGGGAATGGGTATTGTCTTCTGTAGAACGCCAAAAGGCAAGTTGGACCAACCTGAAGCAGCAAACATATCACACAACACCAAGCGAGCATGCACGATCTGCAGAAAAAGGTTGAACAAATGCCGTGTTGCGCGTGTCGCATTTCGTAGGTGAGTGAGATGATGCACTACTATGACTATGATGCAACATGCCCAGTTCATCCACCTCCCTAAACTGACTTGACTTGCTAAAACATCCTGTCAGATATATAGTGAACTTGTGTGAGTAACACAAACCTCTTGACTCAACAAAGAACTTAACACATCGCCCAAGCCACCCGATCAGCAGGCTGAACAATGCCAGGTTTACTTGTGCTTGATGGAGCAGAATGTCTTAGAACAGGAAGTTGTCTTGAGAACCAAATAAGGAGGTTCAATTAAACCTTTGCTAGAAAACCGTGAAAGGGCTGGCAACCTCTGCTACAATAGTCAAATGGGCATGGTCAAACGGCCTCTAGGATCAGGCCGTGGCCAAAACAACTCCAAGATATATGTTGCATGAGTTTGTGTGCCGCACAAGCAATAAGCCCCCCCAAAAAAGACACGTTGTATCTCAAAAACCACACAGAAATGTTGTCATAGGAGTGCATATGGCATTAGTGCGTGGGTCTGAGTAAGCGAGCCTGGCAATCAAACACAGCATACCAATGGATGTCCACTAGATCCTTTTGTACCAAGTTGGCAAGTGTCTTCCCTCGCCAGCCTGATACATGCGTTCCTTCAAATGATTCTCATCAAAGCCGCAGAACAGGAACCTTGGTTAACTGCACTTGAGCATCAAATGCGTTTGAACTGGCTGCACTCGGGGACTGCGCTTTAAGTCTTTGAGGCAAGGACCCTGTTGCAGTCTCCCGGTCTCTCTGCTCATCCCAGAGTCCCAAGACAGAATCCTTCAGGCCTCCAGTTTCGTGTACGACTGGCACCGTTCCATATGCTTGCGCATACATCTGGGGAAGGCCGCACGGCTCGTATTGGGATGGCATCAAAAGGAAGTCGCAACCTGCCAACATTCGGTGTTCAATCTTGGGATCAAATCCCACGTAGCCACATACCCTTCCCTTGTTGTGGTTCTCTGCATTCGACAACTGGGAGGCATAGGTGTCTTCACCTTTTCCCATAAGGATGACTTGAACGCGTCCCAGCACACCGCTTGCTTCGTAGGTCAGCAACCACGGAATGATCTGCGTAATGAGATGGACACCCTTTTGGTAGCACAATCGCCCGCAAAAGCCAATGAGAGCTGCACCTGGATCTTCGTGCAAGCCTAAGGATCGCTGCAGGTCCTTTTTGCATGCAGCTTTCCCTTCTTCAAAGGTCCTAAGGCCATAGTTCACTGGAATGTGGGGGTCTGTCTTCGGATTCCATTCATCTGCAATACCGTTGAGAATGCCAGCCATGCGATTTTGTCGGCCCTTGTCTTGCAGAATCTGATGCAGCCCTTGACCACCTTCTGGAGACTGGATCTCTGCGGCATAGTTTGGTGAGACTGTGAGGACCCTGTCGGACGCCAAACATGCAGCTGACAGCAAGTTCATGCAGTCATTGCCCAGGTTCAAGTCCTGAAGTCAAACTCTGCAACAGCACTTTCACTCAACAGAAATCTCAAGAAGATTGTCCTCACCCTGCAAGTATTCGACGGCCTCAAGCAAATCAGTGAACATAGCCAAGCAAGGGTGTGCGCATGATAGGCAGCTGGGCATCTTGTGGACCCGTTGGTTTTCTGCTGCAGTACATACATGACTTGGCTCATGCAACACTCAAAGCTTTCAAGTTAACCACGTTCACACCTCTGGTGGGAGTCCAAGATAGCTGTCGATGGGGAACTTGCTCAAACGGTACTTGCCCTGATCATGCCGGATGCTGAAAGAAAGGCTTCACTACGATGACCTTAAATGCTCTTCATCAAGGGGTTTCTGAGTGTTTTCCTTAAGCAAACACCTCGCCTGATAGCCGATGTTGTGGATCACAAACATGCACCTGGAGTTCCTGTAGGTGTTGTTCCGCCGGTACTTGTACAAATGATACACTGGCAACAACCCTGTCTGCCAGTCGTTCGCGATGAAGAGAACATCCTGCAATGATAAACCATGCCTTTTTGATCTGGTCAGCTCCTTTGTAGAAAGCATTCTTGTATATATATATATATTCCTTTTCACCTATAGTCTATGGTAGTCTATAGTTGCCTTGTTCTCTTAGTTCATGGTTCCGGTCCTGGCCAAAGGTGCTGCCCCTGATGTTCAAGATTAGTGGGGCTTCAAGTGCTGCCACCGTCAGGAGGGAGAAACGGAAGAGGTTGTCTGGGTATTCTTTGCCATCCTTGGGATCACAATACAAACCTCCACGAGAGAAGCACTCATGGCTCACAAAGATGTAGTCTGTGCCATTGCCATCACCAAGGTCTTGGTAAAGGTGGAAAAATTGCACTTCATGTTCCCTTCCGTCAAGCCAAACTTTTGTGTAGCCAATGTAGTGGGCACCATCATACGCAGCATAGCGCGGGGAGACCACCATGGTACGATGTCCCCTCATGGCAAACTCGTAGCCATAGGAACCGGCCACCATTGCAAGACCGCCAGTCTTTGACCAAGGATTCACTTCTGATGAGACAACTACCACAGGCCTGGACAAGTGGTGGCTGGTGTACTTTGGTCTTTTGTCCTCAAGTTCATCAAGCTCCAATTGATGTCGTAGTTCTGCTTTGCCTTCTGGATCTTGGAGAAGCGAATCCAAGGCTGACAGGGAAAAGACTCGTTCCATGTAGTCTGGCCCAGAATCAGAGTTGGCATCAGAGACTGCCTGCACTGCAGTGCGGTTTTTGGAATGTTTAAAGACGTCTGCTGTCTGCTTTGACATTATGTTGTGTCATTGTGTCACCTCTAAACAGCATTGAATGAGGGGTGGTGTTAGCTGACATACTTAGGTGTTGACGTAGTCTCTCACTGTGCCTTCGTCTTGGGGGTCTGCGTCCCAGATGTTGGTGTCGTGTGTCCCTGCACACGCTTGTCACATCGATCATGTGAGCTGAAACAAAACAACAAAACCCACGAAAAGGATGCACGAAGCAGAAGCAATGCTAAGCCTACGGAATTCCCATGTGCAGGGCCAACCCTCCAACATAAACTGTTTGGGGTTGACAGCTCCATCGCTTTGTATGTCATATGTTGGTCTATAGATTCTTTAGCCTGTTGATTGTTCTGTAAGAGTTATCTCAAGTCTCAACTTCCCCTTTTTTTGCACGGTGAATCGCAAAAATGCAACTTAGTGAAATTTGACCTTCATGGAACTTGTTTTGCATGTTGCTTGATCTGCTGCCTCCTTGCTGTCTTTGTCCTCGGCCAGTCAAGACCAAAAACTTAAACGACCCTGGGCACTAAAACCAACACTTCAAAAAGGGCCTTTGCAGCTCTATGCGGGCAAGCAACTGTTTGCTGCACCTCAAAATCAAACTACAATGGTCATTATTTATATAGTTATCTCTCTGTCTATAGTATATGTATATATATTGTGGATATCTACACATACGTGTGATACATACATTTACATGTGCGTGATATACACAAGCTAATGTAAACATTACATTTATGAACCATGAGACAATAATAATCATTTTTTGGCCTGCCAGGATTTTGAAATACTGCTTTTAATTGCGCCAACATCCAGACCCCAAAATGGATAACAAATTGTTTTCTGAATGTTCTCTCTTTTCATTGTGTTTCTTTTCATTCTGCTTTCGTTTGCTTTTATTGTGTCTCAGAAGCTTTAGGTTTCCTTATGCAAGCCCTATCAAACACATAAAGAAATATCTTCAAAGAGTACCTCTTTAGACTCCTACCCCCTCCAATTATAAGCCAACCTACAATAATCAACCCCCTGCAGACCTGCTGGCTTATCCTTGCCTTGTGCTTTCCCTTTTGCTTTTAACTTCTCCTGCTGTCTTCTTTTTTCCAACCTGTCAGGTGAGGGTTGTTAGATTTTATGTCAGCCCCATCTCCTTCCTTCTCCTTCTTCTCCTCTTTCTCCTCCTCGTCCTCCTCCGCCGGACCTCAACCACGACCATCCACGCCCAGTGTTCCCTGCCGGACGTCAACCACGACCATCCACGCCCAGCATTCCCTGCCGGACCTCAACCACGACCACCCATGCCCAGTCTTCCCTGACAGACCTCAACCACGACCATCCGCGCCCAGTGTTCCCTGCCGGGCCTCAACCACGACCGTCCGCGCCCAGTGTTCCCTGCCGGACATCAACCGCGACCATCCGTGCCGGACCTCAACCGCGAGCTCCAGGCCCAAGTGTTCCCTGCCGGACCTCAACCACAGCACACAACCACAACCACAATCACAAACACACAACCACAAACACACAACCACAAACACACAACCACAAACACACAACCACAAACACAAACACACAACCACAAACACACAACCACAAAAACGCAACCACAACCCCACACACAACCACAACCACAAACGCAACCACAAACACACAACCACAAACACACAACCGCAACCACAAACACACAACCGCACCCACAAACACACAACCACAAACACACAACCACAAACACACAACCACAAACGCAACCACAAACGCACAACCACAAAGACACAAGCGCTAACACACAACCACAACAACAAACACACAACCACAAACACACAACCGCAACCACAACCACAAACACACAACCACAAACACACAACCGCAACCACAAACACAAACACACAATCACAAACGCACAACCACAAACACATCCACAAATACACAATCAAAAAGACACAACCACAACGACAACCACAACTACAAACACACAACCACAAAGACACAACCACAACGACAACCGCAACTACAAACACACAATCGCAACCACTACCAGTACCGCAAACACAATCATTAACACACAGCCACAAACACAATCACAAACACACATCCACAAACACAACCGCAAACACATCCACAAACGCACAATCACAAACACACAGCCACAAACACACAATGACAACCACAACCACAACACGGCACACAACCACAACCACATAACCACAGCACACAACCCGAGGACCCGCAAGCAAAATCGAGAACTACAATACTCACGACCATGGCGACATGCTCCTCACTATATATGGCACCAAGACAAATGATTGAAATGTCGTGGCGGGGATCACTCGAAGTAAAATAATTTGTGTCTCCAAACATCAATCCAAAACAGCAACGGGGAAAAGCGCTCTCCGAGCGGTGGCAATGTCTGTCTTTACAGGTCTGTCTGTATGTAGACCACCCTGTTCCAGGGCTTCGCCTGGGGTACACTGGGTGGCATTCGCTGTAAAGCAGACAGACACCGGGCGTCCGTCAAGGACCCATGGGACGTCATGGAGTATTCCCACACAGTGCGCGAAGCTACTGGGGAATGGGTCGCCTACACTAGACGAGAGAAAGTAAGGCCCTCAGTAGCAGTAGATCTCCTTGAGGACCCAGTTCATGAGGGTGAATTCAGAAAGAATGGCCATTGCATCCAGGTAGTACTCGGGGTCAAAGTCCGTCGGATTTGGATGGGTAAGTTCATCCGCCCATTGGTTGAGGTCACGTTTGACGTGGCTGGGGGCGAGCTGTGCCCCTCCTTTGTGAAGAGTCAGGACAATCTGCATCATTATGGCCGCCGTCGGCATCTGTCGTGTCTTGTTGTTGAGCACGCTGAAGACGTTCCCCTGGTTGTCCGTGATGACTGGGATCTTGACCGCCAGTTGGTGACGTTCCCCCATTCGCAGGATGAAAGCAATAAGGATGAGCGATCCAAGGAGTTCCAAAGCTGGGATCATAGAGCTCGCAGCCTTGGACTTGAGAAGCCACGGAAAGGCTGTTTCCGTAAGATGGAGATGAAACCAATAAACTGAACGTTTCGAAGGAGTAGGTTCAGGAGAGAGCCAGCCAACCCCCAGTGTAGAATTCTTTCTGTGTGGTTGCACTGGCATCGCTAACTCCATGCCGCGGGGACCACGGAGCAAAGGGCGTTGGCCGAACATATGCGTTCTGGAACAGGAGCTTCAGCATCTGGGCGAAAACACGGACGAGGTGATTTGGTTTGCCCGAAGATCTGACGGTGCCCTTCCACTGCCATAAAGGCTGGAGAAGGGTTGGTTAGGGGACACGCACTAGTGGCCCATTGTAGTCTGCCCATACCCTTCTCAATGTCTTTCAGAGTGAAGGTTTCACCCGCCGCGAGTTTGAAGAACAAGGGTGTATTTGTCTTTAGCCATTTGCACAATGGGGCCTCCTGGATCAATCACGAAGCCCAGCCAAGTGTTGACTGGACTGAGGATGGTTTTCTTCCAACTAAGGGGGGGTGCCGAGGGAGAGGAGCACCACAAGAAGAGCTGTGGAGTGTTCCACCACATGTGAGCCTCGCAGGAGCCATGCGAAGTTGTCGACAAACACAAAGCCCCAGGTCAATCTCCGGGAAGACTGCGTATATGATCCTCAAGAACAGTGCCGCCATCCGACCCCAGTATATAAAGTTGGGCGCTGGCCATTCCATATGTGCCCACCATGTTGACCCACCATTCATCACCAATGTGAGCAATCTGGTACTTCCAGTCTCTTGGGGTTGGATTTTGATCCATCTGTGCGCCTTGGTGACATCGGCTTTGAGGAGTTGCCAGTGTGTGCCAGGTCTGCTGAACTGTGGTTGCGCCTCCCTGTCAGGGGTGGTAGATTCTCAAGGACGGGTTCTTCAAGGGTTGGCAATGATGGATCTCCTCCTTGCCCGGGCCAACTAAGATATGGCGAACTTCACGTAGCAGGTCGTCAAAAAAGGATGCTTTTTCGCTCCTCCTTGGGCAGTCGATCGTTGGAAATCCTTATGGTGAAGCACCTTGGTAAAGATCGTGCGACCCTTAGCAGTGAGGGCGGATGGAGGTCGGAGAGGGGAGGACTCTGAACCTGAGTGGGACCCGCGTGACTGGTCTATCATGCATGGGTGATCTGCTTTGTCTCCTTGCGAGTGAGAGACTCGTTCTCCCGGGACGCACTGCAGGCGGAGTTGGGGTTCTCAGGTTTGTCCCTGCCTTGGGAGGGCGTCCTCCCATAGTCCTCATCGTGTTTTCCCCTGCGGGGGTGCCTTGGTGAAGGCGTTTCGTTTACAGAAGAGGACAATCCCTCCCAAAAAGCACCGCAGGCGGAGGTGGGGTTCTGAGGTTTGTCCCCTTCGTTTGGAAGGCTTCCTCCTGCGCTAGCATGAGCGCTCGCTTTCTTCCAGGACGCGCCGCAGGCGGAGTCAGACCCAGGCTCATGGGTCTTTAGACGGACTATAGGTAGGCAGCGCGGCCTCCCAGGCAGGTCTGGATTGGGTTTGTCCGCATGGGAACCAGCTGTGGTGGATTCCTTCCACTGGGGTTGCGCAACCCCGTCGCTTGACTGAGGTGGGCCTCAGCTGAGGCTTGTTGGGATGTTGGCTTCGCTCGAAGCCCCTTACTCGATATCAGTGCTCTGCAGGGCAGGGTTGTGTGGGGGGTTCTTGGGTATCTACTCAAGTCTGAGGACGTGACAACCTCTCTTTGCTGATGAGCCCCAGGATCGTGGTCGCAGCAAAGACCATGGTGTAGCCCGAGGTTGATGGAGAGAGTGGTTGATTTCTTCACCACTTGGCCCAACCGACGCTGGTCGAAGGTAATGAGTGTGTTCCCCAGGAGTCGGCGCCACTCCCCAAGCGCCTTTGTGGCCCAAATGGAACTGCACTTCCAGGCGCTCGGTGCCGTGCTGGTTTTCTTCGGGTCCACCGGGTGTTCCAAGGATTGTGGAAGATGGCACCGTCTACGCCCAAGGTGCGCAAGGTGGGTGATGACCATCTGGGGGAGGAGCAACACACTGTCATTGGTTGCCCCAACACCAGGGTTCCTTCCATCCACGCACAGGTGGGGGAGCACTTGCTTTCGGTATCCAACGGAGAATACTCCTCCACCAGCGCCTGCAATCTGCTCAGCCAGGGCCCGATGGCACCTCTTTCCCCTCACGGAGGACATCGAGCGCGACCACCTTCGGAGACAGCTCGGCGGGAAGATTGTCCCGGATACAGGCGTCCAGCGGTCTCATCGTCCCGGCCCGATGTCCTTGCGAGGCGGGATGTGTGAGTGCCCCTTTTGCCAGCGGAGCCTCCCTGGAGGTGAGCCGGTACAAAGAGGCCAAACCGCTTGGAAAACCATCAAAGGGCGACCCAAATCCATTGGATCTTGTGCGGGGTGGCCTCGATGTCACGGAGCTTGTTGCAGCAGGGCTCGAACTGCCGCCTCGTCCGCAAATCTGGGTGAATCCCATTCCGTTGGAGCTCCTTGAGACCCAAGCAATGGATACGGAGTGTCCTGAAGCGGGTGTCGCCCAGCAGGTCAAGGTACTCCTGAAAGGTGTCCGGCCCTTGAATAGGTCGGAGGCGCGGGATGTCATT